TGAAACCCAATAAAGTAGAGGCAATATTGAATTGGTTAAGGCCACCAAATGTGGGAAAAATTCGCAGCTTTGTGGGTTTAGCATGATACCACAGAAGATTTATTGAGAGATTCTTCAAAATATCAGGACTATTAACACAATTAACTCATAAAGGTGTAAAGATTGAATGGACAGAGAAATTTGAATGCAATTTTGAGGAGTTAAAGAAAAGGTTTATCAATGTATCAGTTTCAACCATACCTAGAGAATGCAAAGATTTTGTAATATATTGTGATGCATCTAAACAAGGTATTCGATGTGTTTTAATGTAACAAGGCAAGGTAGCTGCTTATGCATCAAGATCGTTGAAGTATTATGAGCAAAATTATCCTACACATGAACTAGAATTAGCTGTAGTAGTTAATGCCCTGAAAATTTGGAGGCACTATTTGTATGGAAGGAAGTGTGACATCTATACAAATCATAAGAGCCTCAAGTACATCTTTATTAAGAATGAGTTGAACATGAGATAGAGAAGATGGCTTGAACTCATAAAAATTACTATTGTCAAATTCATCACCACTCAAAAAAGGCAAACGTAGTATTCATGCCTTGAGTAAGAAGACAAAGGGACAAGTGGCGATGTTAACAACACAAAGGCCTTTGATTAGTATCTAGATGCCTCGCCACATGAACTATAAAAAATTCGACTTGGTTTCGAACCCTCATTTAATACATACTACATCTACATTGAATCATAATTTTCTTGTTAACACATCTACACATTAGTTGTTTAACATAATGTCGAAATCTACATTATTTGCTTCTACCTTGTTGCTTTGCCATTACTATCTAGAACGGAAAATATCTTGCAATGTCCTCTCAAATTAAAATTGTATATTAACGCATAGGTAAATTAATCTTTCCTCATTATGGAGACCATGATGGATGTTCTTGTACACTTGTACAAATGGTACCCAAGCACTCGAAAAATAGAGTCCAAGCTATAAGATTTTGAATCCCACTTCCTGATTACCTATAACAATAAAGTTTGATGTATGCCAGTTGTAAGTCTCGCTGAAGTAAGTCCCTTGTCAAAGATGGAAAATCAATAATTATTGTTCCTTTAACATTAAAACAAGTATATGAGAACCAATTAAAATCAAAAGTTGAGGAAGAAAAGAAAAAATAAGAGTGAAACTAAAAATTCAAGAAAAAAGTGGGTAATAGAAAAAATAGAAAGGTCCTAGAAAATAATGAAAAAGGAGTAGAGCCACTAGGAAAAAAATATATATATAAGAGAGCCTATGAAGAGAAAAGGAAAAACAAAATTGAGCTTTTGTCCAAAAGAGAATTATAAGGTAGACATACACTAGAAGAACCTATTTCGTCATATCTATGCGTGTTAATGCCTTCAAATAATTTTAATATTTCAAATTCGTCTTCTTCAAGATTAAAGGAAGGAGTAGGTCCAAAGGGTACCCAACTAATATTTGCACCAATTTGTTGTGCATATAATTATTACATTTCACATAAAGTTTGTTTCAAATTTCTATAAGTCATAATTGTGTTAAAAGTTAAAAATTTTGAAATTTGATCAATTATATATTTAATACCTGATAAATTGTATTGAGGTCCACGATGCACACCAAAAGAAATAACATAAGCAAGTCTTTCCTAATATTTGTAGAGTTATAGCCCTCATTTGGCCCCCATTATTTGCACATTTTCCGTTCCCATTTTTCATAATATGTGGTCCCCACTTCTGAAATTGTTGCATCATTTTGACCAAAGCAAGGACCTTTTTTTGACTTTTCTATGAAGCATTCTACTTCATTTTCCAAAATTGACCTTGACATATTATAGGTAATGGCGTCAACAGCTTGGCTAGGTGAGGGCAAATATGTCCTACCAATTTTCAATGGTCCAATAAAGGCAAATAAGAGTCTAACAAAGCAGTTTTAAGTTTTGCGTTGTTTTTTAATTTTTCATCGTAGATTAATGAGAATTTGTGCAAAAAAAACTCATTAAAATGGGGGCCCAAACGGGGGCATAATAATTGTCATTTTTTTAAGCTAAGATCCAATCAGATTCATTCAAAATAGTGTCATCATCATTTCTAATATATCTATTGTTATAAAATTTCTTTATTAAATATTTAAATCAGTCTCATGATTT